ACATGTGTGAAGAATTACAATGTGCACAGGTTGATGATGGTATGAGGCAGGCAGGCAAGCAGGCAGTGGTGACCAGAGGATGGCATAGCAATGGTGGTCTTGATATGGCAGAGTGGTGTGGCAAATAGTGTTGAAGACACTGGCACTAGAGAACTGTAGCACAGGGAAAAAAATATGTTAAAATACAATCCAAGGCAAAAAGAGTTCTAAAGGCAAAATTGGCTGAGAGTACTTTTACATGAAGGACGCAAACAATCGCTGACTGACTGGAGACCAGTGGCTTGTACCATGAAGCAGGATTTGAACTTAGCAAGATAACTGAGGTTAACCTTGTGTTTTCAGTCCTGTAACAGTGCTTCGCTTCTTAACAGGGTAGATCGCCATGGTAACTTATGCTGAATGGCTAACCTGCTCTGGAGCACGTTATGTTCCAGATAAGCAATCAACTTTATAAAAACACTGCCTACTAACTAGGGCTGCAGCTAACGATGATTTTAGTATTCGAAGCTTCTATAGATTATTTTAACGATTCATCAATGCGTCGTTTAAGAAGTACTTTACCTCCCGGGAACGGGATCAACTGTGCACATTTATAGGTGATAGATATTTATTGCTCCTTTCAGAAATTCATTGTGTGTCATTCAGCAAACATCAGACCAACAACCAGACACCTGCTTTACAAACATAAACATCACCCGAGTGCTATACAAGTTACACTAAATGCTCGTGCAGAATACAACTTTCAGCGTTTGGGTGAAAAGGATGGATTAGCACATTCCGGATAAATGTGCGACATTAATAAATATCCGTGCGAAACACTTTTCTGCATAGTTAGATGAATTAAATGATGCATCAATGCAAAGAATTTGCTTCCATGCATTTTATTAATTGATTTAATCGATGAATCGTTTCAGCCCTACTACTGACCAATCAGCTCTTTTGGGAAATGACACCTGTAGGAGATTCCAAAGACTGTTTTTAGGCTGCTTTTATGTTTGCTGCGGTGATGCAGAGAAACTTTTGTATAGCAATATCATCCTACAGAGACTCACTGAACTAGGCTCCTAAAGCCTTGCTTGCTGTATGTTTAAGATGGGACAGTAAGCCTACTTGCTGCTTTAAAATGTGTTTTGTATTTTTTAATTGTTCAGTTTCACACAGCCTGTTGCAGCCATTAAAATAAATGGGTTTCAATTTTCTTATGTGATGCTGAATATTATGAGCATATAGTTTGGTAGGACTATTTAAGTTACATATAATAAGAATGTTTATTTTAGGTTAGTACCAATTTTGCATTATAGATACTGGTCATATAGTTCCCTGCCTTTTGCTCTGTGGGCGCAGGTATTGTAGGGGGTGTTTTCAGTAGCCTAAATGTTGTGATACAGTCTTTCGACCACTATTTGAGCACTTTTATGGCATGATAGGATTTTTTGTTGTGTTGCTTTATGAAGGTAATTTAGAACAATGTTTGGAACACTTGAGTTTGTTTAAATAAATTAATCTGAAAAGTGAGAAGTTCTTAAAGGTCAGTTGGAACGACTACTTATTCAGTGCTGGAGGCTTTTAATGTGGAAACACCAACACACAGCCGAGCTGAAAGAATAAGGCTAAAATTGTCATACACCCCATAAAACATTAAATCAACGCATTCATATTATAGAATATGCCTGGTCGTAAGCCTAGGCTTTCACACTGTCTGCGATTTTCTGTCTTCCTGCATGTGTCAGCTGCAGCTGTGCTACTTATACTGTATCTAATATTACAGTTTGGTCTTTGTTTGAAAAATATGCCGCTCTGCTGCTAACATCGCCTCTTTTATGTGAATGCGCTCATGCCTAGTTTAGGGAAACCCTGGGTTGACTTACAGAGTTGATAACCAGCTTCGTGTGACTGCTTATCCTGTTTGTTAGGGTTAGTGAAGCTAGATAACTAAAAGATATCATGGGTACATTGAACTTGCTTTGCGGTACAGGGCCCAGGAGTTTTCCAGCAGAAGCTTGATGAGAGGATTGCCAGCAGGTGTAGCGATGAACCAGGTGCCAGGCGGTAACCACACCCATACACATATACCCACACACACAAGACCAGAGACACGGGCCGTTTCTTATTTTCCTAATTTGTGCCTCCTCCCCTCCTCGATACTCGATCCTCGAGCCTGTGACCCAAAAATCAATCTCAGCGCAGCATCTTGAAGGACATCTCAATTCCTAAAATACATCTTGAGGAGCAAGAAGGCAAGGAGATATAAAATGAGAAATGAGAGACTAGAGAAAAGAAGAAGAATACACAGAAAAAACACAGAATAGACAGAAATAACAGTCATGGGTGAGCCGTTACAGGGGTTTCAAAGAATTCTGCAAAAAAGAAAAAGGGAGCACTTTTACTGTGGAATTTCTTAAAAGTGCTACCACTCTGAATATCAATTTTTGGGTGACTTTTTTTAGAAGTATTGAGCATATATGTCATTCAACATAATGCCATTTGATGAAAGCTTTTATCCTAATTGCCCCATGAGTCCCTCGAGTGCACACATTTTTAGCATGGATGGTCTACTACTAAATTTGACAACATTAGTGCCATCCTTTACTTCTACAAGGCAAAATTACACTTTTCCAGGAAATTCTTAGTTGTCTTATGTAATTGGTATTCTCATGTTCCATGGTTTATTGCTTAATAGGAATAATATTTTACATTTTGGGTGCTGACACTCAAAACAGGTTTTCATCAAAACAACTGGGTAAATGGGTTAAGTCTCGTGTTCAAGTAGACAGAAGAGTATCCTATCAGGTACATTTTAATGCTACTATTAATGCCAAAATGACAAAACTTGCTCCACCCAGCTTTCCGATGTGATGATGTCAACATAAAACTTCCTAATGAGTTCATTTCTGTATCCCTGTCATTCACTTTCCTTATGTGTTTGTGGGGAACAGGTCTGTTGGAGATTATGGAACATCCAAAGTGACAGAACTGAATGAAAGAATAAATAAATAAATGGGGAAATAAATGCAAGAAAGAATGAATGAATAAAGGAATAAATAAATAAATGCGGAAATATATCAAAGAAAGAATGAATGAATAAAAGAATAAATACATACATTTGCTTTTGCCTTTCCCTTAGAGACCTATTGTCATTGCTTTTTCCTTCCACTTCCTTAACTGTCAATCAACGTGTTGTGGCCCACCCACTAAGTCAGGTCGAGTAGCCGATGACTGATACTATCTTCAGTGTGGATATGCTGTCCCTGGAAGAGTGTTATGATTGGTAGAAAGTTTAGAAGGAGTTATGCTGCGTTCAAGACCGGTCGGAACTAGGATATTTCCCAGTTGAAACTTCCGACTTCCCACATCAAAGCGTTCCAGGTGCATGGTGGTGCATGACACCGAAAATGAACGAAAACCATGGCTAACTGTGACAACGTGTACACACAGTTGCACCCTCAGCAGTGTTTTAGGTGTTGATTAAAAGGATGGCAGTTTAACTGCAACAACTTAATATAACATAAATAGCCTATAGTTACTAGTTAAAGGTTCAGTGTATAATATATCTGAGGATCTATTGACAGAAATGCAATATAATATCCATAACTATGTTTTCAGTGGTGTATAAAGACCTTGCATAATGAACCCTTATGTTTTTATTACCTTAGAATGAGCTATTTATATCTACATACAGGAGGCACCCCCTGCTGTGGAGGTCGACATATTGTGTCATCATGTTTCTACTGTAGACTACAGTGAACAAACAGCACTTTCGTCACTACCTTGAAAGAGAAGCAACAGAAGAAGTAGCAGCAGAAGCAGTAGGAGCAAGAGCAAGAAGAAGTTGTACGTTTCTAACTACTAGGTAGTAGTAGAAGCTCTCTTTATTAGTAGTGGAATTTTGGACAAATGGAGGACCACAGCTATTATTTAGCACAAGAGCCGACGGAGGGTGAATCTGCTTCGAAGAAGCGAAAGCATGATGAAGCCAGACTTATAACGGGAGCGACGCAGGCAGAAATCACGGTTAAACATTGGTATGGCTTTTCCCAGATGGAAGAAGGGTCTAATGAGGGGAAAAATGTTTTCAAAGCGACACCGAAGTTGATGGACAGGTAAGGTATTCCAACTGAAAACTGTTGTTTGATAATGTTAGCATTAGCTAGAAGCTAGCCATAGACACCGTGAGAAGTGACTTTTCCCTTGTCAGTGGTGTAAAATATGTAGCTGTATAGTTTCATGTGGTTCTTCTCCCTCGCTGTGTTATGGCTTCACTATGTGGGGATAAATGTACTGGTTACGTTTGTGAGACAATCAGCTGATTAGTATTATTGACCGCAAAACAGCAAGTTAGCCTACAGCATAACATCTCATATTAGCCAGCTAAACTTTTACTACCCTGTTAGAAGAAATATATGTAACGTTAGCTGGATTGTTATTTCGAAGGTTGTTCTCCAGCGCTTTGGCTTCATTTAGTGAACAGAAATGTGTCTTTTGTGTTTGTGAGACAATCAGCTGATGATTACAATTAGCTAAAAAAACGTAACATGGATGCATGGAGCATGGTGGCTCAGATTAGCAAGCTAAATGTTTACTGCCCTGGGGAAAAACATTTATTTTTACTGCTAACAGCATTACGATAACAACACTGTGTGATTATCAAGTGACTAATTATGCTTATTGTCAGAATTTACATTAGAAACAACGTATTTGTTTGTATTGCTTCTAGGGTGCATACAAAGGTTACCACAAGCTCAAATTATGGAACTCAGCACTTATTTGTGTTATATTATATTGTAGAGCACCCTTGATCCTCACCTGACTATGGCTTTGTAAACTTACCCATGATGTGTTTAATAATGGACTGTGGTACAGAAACAGGGACATTTTTACACACTCTTGGCTTACGTTTTCCATGTTGTCTGTCGGTGATCATACTTGCACTAGATGTGATAGTTTTTGGGATGTTCAATTTATTAGGCAAGATGAGCAAACCCTACGAATATGTAACACATTGTGGATTACAGTACAGTAATGTATTACAGTCATGTAGCACTTCATTTATTGAGGCTGCTGCTGTTTCTCCAGCTACGAGACAGGTCCTGCAACATCGACTCCCTTGAAGAGAAAACCTTTGCAAGTCCCAGCTCCAGCATTGTCTAGCATTGGTGCTTCTAGTGGAACAGACCGGTAAGTCATGCATAACAATATATTAATTTTGTCCTAATAGCTTTGATTAGAAACATGAACTTTATGATTAGTGTGCAATAGTGTGTTATTTTATTTTTGGTCTATATCTACTGTTGAATGAGAATATGTGGGATTTACACAACTTGCTCTGGTTATTCTTTACAGAGATGAGCATCTTGATGTCATTCCAGAAGCCACAGAAATTCAGGGCCTTGAACAAAGGTAACATGTACACATCATAACTTTTAGCCCTGTATTGCTTTTCTCCAAATGTTCATAATATATATTTGTAATATGTTTTTTGCAGCTTACATGACTTGAGCATTGTTGAGGAGGATTTGGAGGAAAATGAACAGTGTGTAAGTAGTACTTCCTGATTACATGTATTATTTTTCAGTGATATTATTTGAGAACTTGTTTTTATCTGAAAGTTGTCATTATGTAAAGAATTGATTGGGCAGATAAAGCTTCATCTTACTCCCTTGAAAGAGATGATGGACAGAATGGTTCAGCTCTGATGAAGAGGATCTTCCACCGATTTCTATACGGTGTGGTATTTGTCAGTCTCAATTTGCAATTGTTATGTGGTGTTTGTTTACTACAGATTTTTGTGCCTCAATAGAATGGGTGGAGCACTGAAGAAAGCACACTCTATCGATGGACTTCCTTGCCTGCAGACGCTCCTGATGAGCCTTCTCCCTGTGATCATGACCCTGTATTCCCAGAACCACAGAATGTTCTTTGTGAAGATGACATCATAGGTGTCAGAGCCTCCATAGTGTACAAGAACTGCTTAAGACAACTGGCTACATTTCTGATCCTGCCTGTGGATAAATGCACTGGCCTTCTGAGGACTGGTGCGCCGTGCAACTCTGTTGCACCCTTTGAGATCAACATCACCACCAAGGGCACAGCAGCTACTATCGAATGGGCAAGTCCAGACAATCACAGAATATCACAACTTTAAATTAGTATAAAATGAAAGGTTTACCAAAAGCCAGTGCTGTACATGACAAAAGCAAATGTTTCTTCTCTGTGACTTTTAGATCTGTCCTAATGAACACAGCTTGTGGAGGTGGAATTCCCAGCCTGTGATGAAGTTTGGGATGCAAGCTGGAGATTTTCTCTTGTCCACCAACATTTTGTAGTCTGGCAACAACTACGCAAAGGTTGCCCTCTTGTTCAAATTCATGAACACAGGGATGGTGAACAGGAACACTTTCTTCTCCATTCAGGACACTTACTGCGTCAATACAATAAAGGACTTCTGGGAAGAGAGAAGGACAGAGGTCCTTTGTGGCCTTCAAGGGAAAGATGATGTTGTCCTAGGTGTGTAGTTGATACTGTATTATGTAACATAGCTATTGAATACACTAAGCAATGACAGTATGGAAACAACTAATAACTGTTTTTCTGTTGAATTATATTTTAAAAAATTTCAACGGATGGCAGAAATGACTCTCCTGGTCACTGTGCACAATACTGCAGCTACACCACCATGGAGAATGACACCAAGGAGATCATTCATGTTGCCACCATAGACAAGTGGCAAACATCATGGAACTCTGTCGTCATGGAGAAGGAGGGTTTCATCCAGACTGGACAAGCTTACATCAGAAATAAAGCTAGTGGAGATCTGCACTGATGCTCATGCCCAGATTGGTGCCCTTATGAGTAAGTATTCATGTGATATATTGTATGGGTGCATGTGTATAACAGCAATATAAATATTATAGGAACATGACATTATTTACCGCTTCATAGACCCAGACAAAGGCAAATACAAGGCCCTTGGAATTCATCACAGTCTGGACATATGGCATGGTGTGAAGAACCTTGCCAAAAAAATAGCAGCAGTAAGTGTAATAACTGGCTAATGTTGTGAAACCATCACTCTAGGTAGGTCCTCTGCCTCTCCTTGCCCTGACTGCACCTCCAACACCTCTGCCTCTCCGCCCTCTTCCTCTCCCTCTCTCTCTTACAGTTATCTCCGGTAAATGGACTTCTGCATTTAGATCACATTGACATGTGCTGGTTCTGTCTAACATTAGCTTCTTCTTCCTTCTTCTTCCTTGTGCTTTTATTGTCAGTTGGCAAACAACTAATTGGTGCGTTACCGCCACCAACTGGTATGGAGTGTGTATCAAACCTTTATACATCTCTGATCATGCAGAGAAATACTTCTGTGAGTGATTAGTTGGACTTAGTGGGTGGGCCACAACACAGTGATTGACAGTTAAGGAAGAGGAAGGGAAAAGCAATGACAATAGGTCTCTAAGGGAAAAGCAATGACAATAGGTCTCCTTGGGGAAAGGCAAAAGCAAATGTATGTATTTATTCTTTTATTCATTCATTCTTTCTTTGATATATTTCCCCATTTATTTATTTATTCTTTTATTCATTCATTCTTTCTTGCATTTATTTCCCATTTATTTATTTATTCTTTCATTCAGTTCTGTCACTTTGGATGTTCCATAGAAGATGTTTGCTGTGAGTGAGAAAAGGAAAGCAACAGTAGGAAAGACAAATGGACAAATTGGGTTTTTAATTAATTGTGCAAAAACTATGAAGCGATGAATTGGCTGGAAAAGGTGCATTGTCTTACAGTATATCCATTGTTGTTGTGAAGTTATCTTTAAATTTTAGTTGTTTAAAGAGCAACAGGAACTTATTTTGGGCTGGCCTATAGTGTCATTAAATGAGGAAAAGAGTCCTGTGGAAATGCTAAAGCCAGGGCTTTAATTGTAATTTAATGCACACTAAATCAATACTGTCCTAAATGAATCATTAGGACTTCGCTTTTTTGGTATTTAGTGTTTCACAGCGCCCTCGGCAGATCAGCAGTATAGCAGCTCTAAATATTCCACTGGCTGTTTAACAATTCAGGAGGCATCAAATTGAATGTAGGGGGCACTGAGGTAAGAGGGGAAAGGCCATGTAAGGATAGCAAAACTTGATACTGCATAAATGTCGCATACTTGTAATCAATTTCTTTTTTCCCCCTCAATTCTGTCAATCTAGTAAGAGATATTTCCATTTGATTCAACAGTTTCAACATCAGTTGTTTCTACAAGTTCATGAATTAATCCAACTTTATTTTTGCATGATTATTTGTATGCCTTTTTCTGATATTATCTCTAATTCACATTTCCTGAAAACCCATTTCAAACAAGTCAGGGATTCAAACCAGCAAACATCCGCTCACTATTTTCTCTGACTTGCAGCCTACCTCTGTTCATGTATTTAAGGAAGCCCTCCATCCTTACACTATAGATAAAACCTCTACTTTCATGGTAAGTCCACTGAGACCCAGGCTTCATCTATGCTGGGTGACTCTTAGCTACAGTCTGCAGTAATGTTGACAACACTGTCTTTTATCCCCCAGTGGCAGACGTTGAAGATGAGGGTGTCAAATTGGTCACTTTATTGCTTAAGATGCGTCACTTCAATGTGAATTGTGTGTAGGTGTGTGTGTGTGTGTATCTCAAGATGTGTTGAAAGGGCAGCAGTAGAGCACTAATTGTTTTAAATGCCTGTGAAGCTGACAATAAAAAAGGAAGATGAATCATGCATGAATCCAGTTATTGTGTCTTCAGATCTGCTTTTGTCATGTGGCACACAAAAGCAGTATCTCTACAGTGTAATGTTGTACAGTTTGCATCGCCCACAACACTTGATACATGCCCACTGATGAAGGTCGAAACTTTGTGGACAGAGACATCTTCTCTTCAGGAAGAAAAAAAACATCTCAAGAAAACAACACTTTGGTGTATGTGAGATCCTTATAGTTATAGATCAATCTCCATCTTATGAATGTTTTTAACTTTGCTTTTTTGTTGTTTACTGTTCGTTCTTTGGACTAGTGAGGAGTCCCAGACATTTTATACTCTGTGGGTTATTCACACTTTGCAGAAAAGAAAACTTTGAACTTTTTTTAGGGAGCTTTGAACTGCTTCCAGGGGAATAACATCGTTTTAGATACAGTATGTGAATGACATGTCAAAATCAAAGTTAAGGAAGTGTAAGCCTTCCCTGAACACATATAATCATAGGTTTACATGCGAAGAAATAAAGGCAGGTGACTAGCTTTCCTGCGATTGTGCAGAAGCCAGGATTTTGAAGATCACAGGAAGTTCTGTTTGGCTGCCCACAAGCAACTACACTTATTTATAAGGCACTGGATAAAATGCTGTGGTCACTTTTTCATTATAGACATTTCTGATTTTAATTTTAGGATGACTTAAAGGCAGGGTAGGCAAGTTGCTTCTAAAACACTTTCTGTCATATTTGTTTAAACTGTCTTTATACACTAATACATATTAAAAAGTCAGGTGCTCTGAAAAAGACAGTATAAAAATCGGCTGTCTGTAGTCCTCTCATGGCTGCAGTAAACACAATCACTCGTTCCATTCGGACCAAATGCAAAGATTGGCTGGGTGACTGTCACTCTCCCTCGCAGCCATGGCTACCAGCCCTGCTGCTACAGGAGCTGCCCACATGCGCGCACCCGGTCAGACCTGAGGAGCGAAACGGTCAGACCGGTGGGTGATATCTGCATGGCTTTTCAACGATAGTGACAACTGAGGAACACCAAGGGGCTGAAAAGTTACACCGTGGTGGCTTTATTTCTGCTGGACAGGTTATCTGACTTTTATCATTTTTATGGTAATAGTTTCTTTCATCACTAGCAAACGTAGCTACCTACTTAGCGAACAGCTAACGGTTGCTATGAGTGCAGACCAGTCATGGAGCCAGAGTAGAGACAATGAATTCTATCTAGCTGTAGGTGAGCTGGAAAACAGCAGCGCAAGCTGTGTTTTTCGACGCTAACATTAGGTAAGACAATGTAGGTGTAGACTGAGCCAGTTTAGTTATTTACCATCTAGGTTTATTGTTATACTATTATCTTTACCTTGTATCTAATCTGTTTGTGTGATTATCTTGTGTCTGCAGGCATTATTTGACTGTATGTTACTCTTTACAAATGTGGTGATGTAGCTGTGTGTTTGTAGTTATTAGAGACATTTCAATGTTAGTGTACATAAACAATGATGGCTAAAGGTCCCCAAGTATTGTGTGTTTCTGGTATATAAAGCTACCTATAATATAGTTTGACATTGTAGCTAAACCTACTGTGTGAAAACTTTTTACTGTAATTGGTGCTGTTATGCCATTACTTATTTTACCAGAAGTAAAAAATCCTTCACCTGAAGGTCCCCTGCAGATTTGGAGTCTTCCATAACCCTGTGCTTCTCACTAGTATACGATGATGGGACCATGCTGGCTGGCCTGGATTACAACCACTGTATCCATAGTCCAGCCAGGAGAAAAGCTGATGACAAAGTTCAGTATGTTGCATTTTTATTACTCCTGTACATTTTACTCAATACATTTACAAGTGATGAGTCAAAGAATATTAAACAGTATGAGGAATACAGATAGATGGTGCTGATTTATTGTTATTGATTGCATTTTATGTGGAAATGCTAACTACTCTATAAGAGAACAATGTCAGGTGATCCTCATTTCTGTATTATCAGGTACAGCAAGGTGTATAACAAATAGTTCAGGAACTGGAGCTTGTACTCATTGAAGGTGGAGAAGGACTACAGTTACATTGCAGACTTCCAGAATGCCATCCTCCTCCTCCGACAGTTGTCTACTACTGAGGAGATGCGTAGAAGCAGAACCAGGAGACCTGATGATCCCCGTCAACATGGGGTTCAGTCAGGTGTCCCTGCCCCAACTGTCTGACTAGATACAGCAAAATATAAATCAAAAAGTAATATGGTTGGTTTTGAAATGTGGTAATCATATCAGAGAGATGATTGTGATATATTAAATCATCTCCACAGCAGTGATACGATATGATGCTACATGAAAAGTCTGAACTGTCTTCATAATCAGTCAAGATACATCTAGACACACCTTGTCTTTCTTCCTGTATATACTTATTGATGTTTAAAAAATATCTATTTGTGATATAGGTTGTAGTTTTAGTAGTATATAATAATAAAGTGATATACCACATTTGGATGTCATTATTTCAGACATAAGACAGAAATGTAGTTGCTTGACTGTTTATGCTGCAAGTGTAAAGAAAAGGCATTTATCATTTTCAATGTTTTATTTAAAAAATAATGAAAATATTATCCAGAACACGGAAAATATCCTTTGTACTTTTCTCTACCCTCCTGGGCATAAAACAAAAACAATGTACAGGTATTCATCCACACAGTGGAGGGAATTATTTGTGTAGCAGTTAGTGACATTACATCTTACACCCTGCTAGGATTAAACCTTTGTATTGTCCCAGTGGATCAGGATAACAGTTATAGCATATCTTCCAGAAACAGCAACTCAATATCACAACTCTGTGGCCAAGTGCTCCATATTGCCACACTACTAACTCTGTGTATGCTGCCTGACTGAACTGTCTGTTACTCTGTCCTGGCTCTGGAAGGTCAGCCATGTGTGGTGCATGGAAACACAGTAGTCTGTTGTCCACAGTCCTCAGATTCTGGCCTGTAAAGGAATATATAGTTGTTAGAACCCCAAATTGGAAAGATCGGTGTAATTGGAAAGAACATTCCTCAACATGATCAGATATTTTTATTGAACAAGGGTTTGTTGTTCTCTGTCAGGACTTCTGTGTCCACATTACACACCAGGTCAATGTACATGACACAGATGAGCCGATGGCTGAAGCAGAGCTGTAGTTCGTTGTTGTAATCAGTAAATCAGTAAACAATAATAAAAAAGTAATAACAATAGTGATGGATTACATTAATATAGCACTTTATTTTTGACACCCAAAGGGCTTAAGGGGAAACACCAGAGAAACTTTGAGACAAGTACACTGGGAGATAATAGACTAATATTAAAATATATATGTACATATATATATCTGTTCATATGCCGTTGTTGGAGTGTGAAGCTCGACGCAGGTATGTGCTGCTCGGCTTGCACCTCGTCCTCCCCGTCCTGCCTCTTCTTCCTTGGACCCCGGCAGCCCTCCCTCCTCTGCTTCGCCTCGACCCCGGTCCTGTCCTGGTCTGTGCTTGGCTCTGGAGTGCAGTCCTCATCACAGACAATAATGCTGTCACCGCGGAAGCTCTAACATGCAAAACAACGTACATGTTATGAGTCTAACACAAAATTCACGTTCATGTAGTGTAACTGATGGAAACGGGAAAATGTGTATCTGCCTGTTTTTAGCTTTTCCCATTGTTAGCGCAGCTGTTAGCACAGCTATCGGTTGCTAACAGCTAGCTTGATAGTGAGTACTAACAGCCGTTAGTTGTTTATT